TTGCTGCAAACACTGTTTTGCTGTGTAGAATTTATGTACAGAAAAGTTAATCAGAAAAAGAACAAACTGTGGATGCAGCTGTTATTGCACACACTTGAACAGTTTGAAACATTTACTGTTTTGAATCAGTTGGAGAATGCATATATATAATGTTTTTTGTTACCAGAATGGTGGCGGCGATAACTAAGAAAGAGAGAAAAAGAGCTTTGTGTTGTGTGTCTGCTCCTTTTGCGTACATTTTGCAGATATGTGCTCTCAAGCTGTGTCAAATCCAAACGGAACTTTGATAAACTGATCTGAGCTCACAGCAAACTGAGCTCCAGGCTTGTCAAATACTGTACAAAAAGCCATAAGAAGCGGATAGTTGACTCCTTTTAGTGCCTCTTTGTAATGCAAACAGCTGGAACAAACAGCTTGTAATCTGTGTTAAAATCTGTCTCTTGTCCCTGAGGCTTCGGCTCAGCCTCACAGCTCAAATAAGAAGTGTTTGCCGTGGCATCGGAGTGTGTTCTTACTGCAGTGGTGCTTGTATGTATTGTTCACTGATAGCTTTTGTAAATACAGTTTGTGTTTTGTGTCCTTTGCAATCAAAAAGCCCTGCTAGAAATGATTGCGAACTACGCTGATAGCGGCGGAGGTTTATGTGGAGAATGTCCTCAGATGTGCTCTGGAGCTGCTGTACATTAGTAGTGACAGATCTGGCATTAGGTGACCTCAGGTTGTTGGAAAACGCCCAAGAAACTGAAATGTATGAGATTCTGAATGTCTTTAATCTCTAGTTTGCTTTGGTTTCTGCTCCAGGCGAACGCTGGGATGATTGTGAGGCTTCGGTCGGCTGGCCACAGTAAAATAGGAATAAAACAAAAGAGACGGAAAGTGACATTTGGGGACTTTTCTAAAATGCTAAGCGGTACGTCAAGTCTAAATGCCAGACAAAGTCATTTACAAGACCGGCGACTATGTGCTGTTTTGTAAAAAGAGGAGTGGCAAGTCCGTCCCCTGTGACTAATTTATTACAAAGTTATGGTGACACATAAAGTTAATAGAGTCAGCTAAGGCGCTATGATGACCAAACCACCTGACATTTATTCCTTTACCCACAACATTCTTTTACATTTAGGCCACAAAGCAGTCTTTGTCGCCGCGCTGCCGCTTGCAATAAAGACTCCTCTTGCACCGCTGCTGTAGAGAACAAACTGCTGTTTTTCTTTCTAGCCCAAATCTCACATGCAGGTTTGCCATGTTTGCAATTTTGCGTGCAGACCCGCTAATGTAAGAGAGAAACAACAGTTTGCTTAGAACATGTCAAAGCCACGATTGATGATTAATCCACGCGAGGCAGACATACAAATCAAGAGAAGGTGCTTCAGCTTCATTCGGCACAGATGAGGGTCCCTGATACGCCTCTGAGGGTTACAGCTGCAATACATCAGCTCATTATAGGAGACAAAAGGTATGGTCCAAGGTGGTGTTTAGTATGGACATCATTATTCTCCTCCTGCCGCTGCCTCCGGCCCGAGTCCTTTGATAGAAAGTGAAATTACATATGAAAGCCTTTTCAATTACATATTAAACAGTTCTGGTCTTGAACCTGTCAGCGCGCACGGACTCCTTTAATCTTTGTGTAATTATTTCTGTTCGCTGCCCAACCTGAGAAAGCCACAAGTTTTAACGAGAACCCTACAACCTTATTATTAAACCTCTCGTACACCTCTACCACCTCCGTCTGTTACGCTACCTCTCTCCGACCTCTTCACCTGTGCATGAGACAGTCTCTGTCCGGTCCGCCCTCCATCCCCCCGACCTCGCCTCTCTGTGCGCTCCCGTCCCCGCAGGTGGGTGACCAGATCCTGGAGGTGAACGGCCGCAGCTTCCTGAGCATCCCGCACGACGAAGCCGTCCGCGTCCTGAAGTCGTCGCGGCACCTCATGATGACGGTGAAGGACGTCGGACGGCTGCCGCACGCCAGGACGGTGGTGGGCGAGACCAAGTGGATCGCCAGCTCGCAGATCGCGGAGAGTTCGGCCAACAGCAGCGTGGCAGGGTGAGTTCTGACTGTGTCCTGGTCATGTTTATTAAACCCTACATTCTGACAGATTCTTCTGATGGTGACGCTGCATCAACCATTACCTGGAGAAGTTGGGTTTTCAATCCAATTACAGTTTAAATACACTGTTGCCCATAAAGTTGGAATGAAAAATATTTTTTGTCTCTTCTCATGAAATGATTGTGACAATGTGATTTATTCTTGATAGATAAAGTGTAGATCTTCTCAAAGCCTTATTGATGTCACAATATTATTATTATTTTTTTTTTGAAATTTAATTATTTTACAAGATTATTATTGTTGTATATAATATATGTTATATTGATTTTTTTTTTTTTAAAAAGGAAAAAAAAGTGAGCTTTTACAAGACTGAATTTCCCTTCTGGGATAAATGAAGGTTTTTTTTTCATTTCATTTCACTTCAATATACGTACAATACATATAATAAAAATTAAACCATAGTTAACTTTTGCAAACCGTGGATTCAGGCTTAAACTAAATTAGGGGTATTGAACAATAGGAGTAAGGGTTTTGTTTCAATTATTCAACACATATTCGAAGGATTTTCATATTCAAGAGTTTACGAATGTCCAATATTATTCTTTCAAATGTCACTCAGTCACTAATATTGAGTCTGACCACCCCTGACATGGATCAGTGCGTTAAGACATGGTGGCATTCTGTCCACAAGCTTGTTGATGGTGTCAATGGACCGGATGTTCCACTCTTCAGTCAGATCCTGTAGTCAGAGTTGGTTTCACCTGGTAGCCAGGACTCAGTATGTAATCATTGCACCTGGTCAAAGTGAGTATAAATAGAAATAAAAAGAGGAATGTGTCTGAAAACAAAAATGATTCCAACTTTATGGGCGACAGCGTAGTTTCTTTAAACTTTTTCTAAAGGTGAATTTTTTTTTTCAACCTGTTAACATTACCATATGATGTGTTTAAGATGCTAGAAGACATATCATGAGCAAAATAAACAGTCAACACCATGACTCAGCATTTCCACCTAAAAAACTGCAGCTTACCAATGATGACTGATGATTCAGACTTCCATGGCTGAGTTACTCCGTGTAGCACAGAGTAGTTTACGATGTTTGAGCAGAGTCAGAGGTGAGCTGGTGTGCTCAAGCTGCAGCAAGAACCAGTAGCAGCTTCAAAGCTCCTCCTTTGACATTTTCAAGAAAAGCTTCAAGATGTACATGTTTTTTAGGCTTTCATCTTTTTTTTTAGTATTTTTTTCTATTTAATTTAGTTTTGAAATTTGATTTTACTACTTTTATCCTGTCTGATAATAGATAGATAGATAGATAGATAGATAGATAGATAGATAGATAGATAGATAGATAGATAGATAGATAGATAGATAGATAGATACAACTTTATTGATCCCTTTGGTCGAACCTCAGGGAATTTGTTGAACAATTGTTGTACAGCATGTTGTTGTTTTAAACATGCTAAATAAATACATTTGATTAGATTTAATTCATGGATCTGCACATTGTGGAGAACGCAAGGGTGTGGATTTACATCTAAGCCATTTCAAACAATCTCTTAAACATGTGACTTTGATACACAGAGATGAGTTTTTAGAGGTTCAATCAATGACTGGGACATAAAAACAATACTGAAGAGTAAAACCATCAAGTTATGTTGACGTCCTGGAGATTGGACTGTTTCTTCTAATTCCCTGGAATCCCTGAACTATCTTTGTGCTCCACTCAGGTCACTCTCTTGTTTCTATTAAACATTCAGAGAGTGACATCTTTGTCTCAGAGTAAAGACATTATCTTCAGTTTGGGCTGAGAATCAGAACCAAAGAAGAAAGTCGACGTAGGTAAAGAAACAGTCGATGAACACTCGCTGTTATAATGAGGAGTAGATGGTTTTGTCAAGGTTTCCATTAAACAGATGAGAGTTGAGCTACAACTCTGTATCCAGCACTGTGTTTTGAATATTGTCTGGATATTGAAATGAATTGTTGTGATTTATTTTTCCAATTAAACGTTTCTTCTGCTGCTGTTTGTGTCACAACAAGCTCAGAAGCTGCCCGTGACGACGGCGTAGATGCAGCAGAAATTAGCAGAGATCTATTGTGTTTTGTCACAAAGGAAGCAAAGAATTTAAAGATCAATACCAGCACAAATCATCAAATGATGATTAATTAATTTCAGTATGTCTGCTGTGATTTTGGCCTTTAAAAGCTACAAATCTGTTTAATTAGAACATTTAGTTTGACATTCACTGGGGCTGCTGTAGTGCGGGTAGCACAGTCAAATCCAAACGCTCCACAGAAAAACTGTAATTAGTCACCTTATCAACACAACAAAATACTGCAAATTGACTTTTTCACCACTGAAATCATCGAACACCTGATGCCCAAAGGCGAGAAATCCAACTATGCTAATTTCAGTGATGAAAACTGGCACCAAAAAAAAAAAAAAACAGCATTCAAAACACTTCACAGAGATAAACAAGAGAACACAGAGTCAAACATGTTGCTCTTCTTCAATTAAAGTCACGGGCTTTAACCATGTAATGTGATCAGACATCTGTCCTTTACATGTTTACAACACTCTCACTTGCTTTATTTTGCTGTAAAAACCGACAATCTGCAGCTCCTCTCCAAATGCCACACCTGAGCAGCTCCCAACCTGGAATAAACGTGCTCCCCGACAACCAAATTAAAGTTGGATGGAAATGCCAGACGACTTTCCAATAACATACAACCCAAATCAAGCCAACAACTCCTCTCCAAAACAATAAGAAGCATTTAATTTTTACATGACAATGAATTTCTGGTGGATTCCTTCCATCCCAGACGTCTCCTCGGAGTCATTAGTGTTTTTTTTTTCCAGCAGAAGCAACAGAGCTGAGACAGATGGGTGTTCGTTTCACTCTGGTGTCTCTCCCTAAAGTTTTTTTTTTGTTTAAGTTAAAGTACCCCTCCTAATATCAGTACATTTATATAAATGTAATGAATAAGTTAACATAATTTCCAAAGTTTTTAATAGCAATGTAAAGAGAAAAAAAAAAGGAATATGCAGCAGGAGACTCGCACTTCCTCTTTTTTTTCTTCCCTTCACTCGTCTCCTTAGCATGTTGGATGCACACATAAATTTCCATAAATTTTTGTGTTTTCATGCACTTTTTAATGAATACTGAATACGCCCCAGAAGGAAGGTAAAAAAGTTGACATTTGAGATGCTCCACTGCCCTACATCTGTGTTTTACGGCTCAGTTTCTATCTTTAGCGCAATACAGTAATGGATGTACACAAACCTCCATTATCGCATGCAGCTGTTTTAGTTGTTTCCCAGTTTTAAGTAAGAATAACTGCATCTGGAACAGGAGATTAAGTTAAAAACTGAATGCAATTTTGCTTTTAAAAGAAGGTTCTAGTAAGGCTTTTTCTGCTTCTTTCATTACCGTATTTGACACATTTGAAACCAGTAGCATTAAAGTGCTGCACACATTAACAATGCTTCATTTAATGTCTTGTCTTTAAAGCCTGATAATTATCTGCCATTGCAAAGAGAGCATCCAGGGAGCAGACATTTGCAGAATCTCTAAAAGGGAGAGAATAAACGGCCGAGCTGGTCTCCAAAGTCAGCTGGACTAATTGAATTTGAATCCCAAAACAAGGTCAGCGCGCTTTGTTTTTCTGTGGGACTGCAGTGTTTTTTGGCCTCCAGTATAATTCTCTGTTCGCCGTTATTTCCGGCTCCCGAAGGCAGCGCTCTGTCACGTTCGCTCGTGGATTTAGGGTGTTTTTTTTTTACTTTTTGGGGGGCGCTTGAGGATGTGAAGACATCCACTCGAGTGGAGCAGGAGGCTGAAAAAGAAATGACATACGTTTCAAAATCCTTCCTTTTATGTACTCAGAGAGAGAAGAAGAGAGTGTTGGTGTGTCTCTGCGACATGCATTTCACTGTCTGCGCCGTAAATTTATTGAAAAGCCTCAGCGAGAGACACGAGCGCTTCACATTCCCCTGTTAAAACGCTTTTCTGTGCAGCATCTCCCAGGAACACAAAAGCCGTGATGAAGACTTAAAAATCTGTAGCACTGTGCACTTATCAGTCTCTGATAAATACCAAATATATTCAAAAAAGATGAAAAGCTCCGTCAAGATGTTTCAAATCCTCTTTTCCGTGCCAAGCTCAAATATGTGCATGTGAGAGAGGACGGGGAGAAAAAAGCTATTAACCCTTCAGCCGCTCTGGAAGTTTGCTCCTTTAATGCTTATTATGAGGCTTTTCTGGGTGTTTATTCACTAAATCAGTTGTGTATTAGTGCCTGTAAATGTACAGTGTGTTTGTAGCGGTGTGTTTAATCCGACAAATGTGTCCGATATAGAGGTCATGAACAAATAAAAGACCTGCTCGTGCACTGTAAGCTGTCTGTAGGATAGCAGTTTATGAGCTAAAATAACTCCTCTGCTTTCAAAATGTAATGACTTTATTGCTGTTTTTCACCTTTTCTTTCTCAGTAAACAGGCATTTCTTTAGCATGTGGCCTCCTAGAGTAATTACTGCACTGGAATCCCACCTGTTGCATTATTAAATGTTTTTTTCTTTTATAATCAGATATGATGATCAGGCTGTTTTCACGTATGTTGCAGGATGAGCTGTCCACGACCGTAATACATATGAATGTGTACATCTGAGGTCAAGGGAGTGTGTTTCTGCGCATTCCATTTGGAGGACTCGACCGTCCCTCTGTGATTAATTTGTCCTCTTCGTCTGTTTCTCTGCAGCTTCTCTATGGACCAGGGAGCATCGGCGGCAGGAAAGGTGAGATTCATAAGTAATTTCCTCTTTGTATGTGCGCGCACTAAACACCCGAGGGGAGTGATTATCTCTCCGGTTGTCCAATTTTCTGTTAATGGCAACGCTGACCTGGAGAACGATATGGAAGAGAGACAGTGTTGATGTCGCTGGTTCATTTTGTGGTGGTGTGCGTCACTGCATGTAGATTGTGGTTATAAGGTGGGCGGTGCTGGTTTTAAAATCCCCTTCAAGACAGGAAACGGCAACAAGTCTTTGGATCAGGCAGTAAGGCGTGAATTAGCCAATTTAATCTAATGACGGTCTCGCCTTGCTGCATACAAATGTTTGACCAAAACAATTCCCCTGTCGCTGATTTAAGGGGACACCTTTGCTGCATCTTTGCCTGATACGATTGTAACAGGCTTAAAGAAATGCAAACAAGTCAGTGTGAGTGTTAATTTCTTCCCTATAGCAGAATAACAGTGA